TTCTGCTGCTTAGTACACACGGTGTAAAAACTGTGTGGAATCTGTCTTATTTAATGCACAGTGCGTAGGAGGTACTATTCTGTTGTTTGCCTGCTGCTTGTTGCACACTGTATACTATATGCTCTTTGTTGCGCGATGTGCAGCAAGTCCTGCCATTTAGCACACGCTGTACAACAAGTAGTGCCAAATATTTACTTTTATTTTTGACAAACTGCGTGATAAATGATATTTTTCAATAAATGATATTTCCAAAGCATAAATGCTCAGAAGTTTTTAGAGGGCATGGGAAAATACCAGCACATCAACACATCTCTATACGATCTGAAATACCATATGCTGATAGACACAGTAAACTCTAAAGCAAAAGACCCGAGAAGCACTCTCTTAGAAGTGCTCTCTTCCCGCATAAAACACTCCTTCAAGGATATCCCAGAGGAAAAGCTTGCAGAAATTGAAGCATTAGTAGACACTTTCCTGCAGGAACGTCTAGACCCGGTATTAGCCAACATAGCAAAAAGACACTGTGCAGTAAGTCCCGAGATCCTGGAAATCCTCAAGAAGGAAGCCATAGCAGAAGCTCCCTCCGAACTCTTATACGGTCGTTCTGCCTTAAGCACAGAAATAGACTATTATACTTTAAAACGGACAGTTACGTACAAGGACTTCTATATGCATACTCTCAAGAAAAAGATCGAACTGCATAAAATCTACAAGGAAACTCAGAAGCTAGTCATTGCCCAGTGCGAGAAAATGCTCCAGACCAAAGGAATGGAGAGATCTGAAAAACGCAAATTCAAGTCTGCCCTTGCTAGTGATAGAGAGAACCTGGAAAGACTCACTAATACGTTAGAAGACCTTCTGAAGGAGGAAAAAAGAATTTCTCAGGAGGAGCCTATGGAGGAAGAAAAAGAAAAGTGTACTGAAGAAAATATTTTCAATTCTGACAGTTACACTTTAGATCTGATGCTTGAGAAAGTTAAAGCGTATTCTTCTGGGGATGAAAGTAATTCCAGCGTGTATTTTGACCTGAAGAAAATAACGGAAAATAACGGAAAAAACATAACCATCTCCACTCCAGAGTATCAAAGATACTACGGGCCAAATAGCAAGAATCTGCTTTCTGCTGAAGAGAAGTTAGAAGAGAAGAAGCGCGTATACGAGAAAATGAGTATGTATAAGTTTTATGAAGAGATGCATCCTTATTTTGGGGCTGTGGTAGACGATGTCTATGCGTATTTTAGAAGTCTAATCAGCATAGATGCAGGCTCTTTTATTGCAAACTTATTCTGGAGGAATAGATCAGAACTGAAAGAAGACTTGGAAGAGCCTGAAAGGGCGGAACTGAAGGAGCTTTTGAATGTCTTGGAGGAATCCACCGACAAGATGTACATTATTGAGTCTACCTTCTTCGCAAATCTATACAGAATCCACGATGCCTTCCAAGTGGCTGATTCTCCGTTGAATATGCTTAGTGCGTGGGGGAGGGGGAGTTTTTTGTTCTTTAGCGATGATTTTAAAAAAATAGCGTCTAGATTTCCAAATGTGGAAAGAAATTCAGGTTTCGGCAAGGCTTTTCATGCCCTGTTTATCCGCGCATACGAAAAGAACGAAAGGGCAAGACAGCTGCACAGGAACGCAATGGAGACAGAAGAGTGTCTTGAAAGGTTTCGAACGAGTGAAACAGATGAGACCACGGAGGACTATAAATTCAGGTTTGATGAATATGAAAAATTTGCAACGGAAAATCCAGTGCCTGATTTTTCAGGTTCTATTGAAGAGATTTCGGCTGAGTTCCTGGACGATGGGGTCACTCCGCGCGAAATCAAAGTCATGCTCTCATTGCTGAAGATTCTCCAGAACATGTATACTGAAGAGCTGAAAGATGAAGCCAAACCAGAGTCTGAGAGAGTAGAATTGAGTGAAAGTCTATCGGAAACTGAGGATGAGATAGAAGTTCTTAACCAGAAACTGCATTCATTTGCGGATTTAAGCAAGGAAGAAGCCAAAAGGAACGAATGTTTCCGTTATGCTTATCTGATGAAGTACAAAATCGAGTGTTTGCTGCACATAGACAGGCTCAAGAAGGAGGCTGAGGAGGAAGTGGTCACACTGGCTAAGGAAGTTATAAGAGAGATTGAAGAGACCCCGAATAACCCAGAATTTAACAGAAAAGCGAAAGAAATGTTTGATGATGTTATTGAGAAGGAGCCCCACCGTCTGTTGACTCCGGAGTTTATCGTTGAAAACGAGCACTTTTTGAAGGAACTGCCAAAGATGGTAGATGAGCTTGACAAAAGAATCGCTGAAACTTTGGGGGAAAGTTCGGGTAAAGTAATCAGTGGAAAATCCAAGTACCATCTTACGCTTCAAAATTCGATCCTCGCACTTTTCTTCGTCTTTATGCTCCTGTCTCTGGGGCTGGTGTGCAACTCGGAATTTTCATAGGAAAATAAAAAATAAGCCCATTTACTGCTCAATGTAGAGAAAAAAATTTACACTGTTTCTCTGCTATTTATTGCACAGTGCAGATTGTGTTATTTATTACGTGATGTGTAAAAAGCAAAAGTATAAATTTAGTGCTATTTACTGTTCTGCGTGTAGAAACCAATTTACATTGTCTGTCTTCTGTTTAATATGCACTGTATAGGAAGTGCTAATTGTTACATATATGCACAAAATTATGTTATTTTCTGCATACTATATAAAAACAGCATCAGATCTTTGTTTTTGCTTTCTGACAGTATGCAATAAATGATATTTCAAAGCATAAATACTCAATTTTTTAAAAGAAACATGGACAAGATTAAGCACATTCGGGTGGATTCAGACCTACTGCGCCAACTAGTATTCCGAGATATAGAAGATCCCGAAATAATAGCTTCAACAAACCCAGTCCTAACAGAATCTTGCTCCCGTGTAAAACGCGAGCTCAAGAACATCCCAGAGGAAAAGCGTGCTGAAGTCCATGCGTTAGTGGATGAATTCCTACAGGAAAATCTAAAACTACTATTCAGAAAAATAGCCAAAGATAACTGTGTAGTAAGCCCAGAACTAGTTGAAATGTTCACGAAAGAAGTTATAGCAGAACTTCCCTCTGAACTTGTCCATGGGATATCCGTCATATGCACAAAAATAATAGATCCTTATCAGATAGAAAAGGATGTTAAATACAAGAACTTCTCTATACCAAATCTAAGGAAAAGGATCGAACTGTTTAAGTCATTCGAGGAAACCCAGAAACTTGTTATCCTCCAAAGCGAGAAAATAATTCAGAGGAAATCCATGGAGCATTTCGACAAGCCTCAGTTCGAAGCGTGGCTTTCCAAAGATAAAAATAGGCTGGAGTACTTCACTACGAATATAAATGACTTACTGAAGAAGGAGGAAGAAATGATTAAAGAAAAAGAAAAAGAAAAAAAAGAAAAAGAAAAAGAAAAGTGTATTGAAGAAAATAGCTTGGATTTAGAAAAGTACACTTTAGATCGGATAGTGGAAAAGGCTAAGGGGTATTATTCCGGCGATAAGTTCAATCCGAGCCTGTACTTTGGCCTGAAAAGAGTAACGGAGGAAAACAAAAAGAATATAATCGACTACATTACGGAGATTATGCCGGATCCCAACGATTCTCCTTCTGAGGCGGAAAAGAAAGAAGACAGAAAGAACTACTTATACAGGATAAGCCCCTTGTATGATTTTTTTCTAGACCTATATGGCCCTGTTGACTATGTATTAGAAGGTAGTTCCGAATTCTTTAAGAGTATAATCAACATGAAAGCAGCTTCTAAGCTTATAGATTTGGCCTGGAGGGCTAAATCCAAAATCAATGAGTTGGAAGGACCTGAAAAGGCGGAAATGGAGGAACTTTTTGCTGATTTGGTGAAATTTAACCGCAAAATGTCCATTATTGTCTATACCTTCTTCGCAAAACAGTACAGAATCCACGATGCCTTCAGAATAGCTGATTCTCCTTTAAATATGCTTAGTGCGTGGTCAAGGGAGGAGTTTGGTTTTTTTACTAATGATTTTAAAAAAATGATGGCTAGACTTCCAACTATGGAAAGAAATTCAGGTTTTGAAAAGGCTTTCCATGCCCTGATGAGCTGCGCATACGAAAAGAACGAAAGGGCAAGACAGCTGCACAGAAACGCCATGAGGGCAGAAGAGTGTCTTGAAGGACTCCAGATGTATAAATCACGCAGGTCCGATGATAAATATGGATTCGGGGTTCGTGAATATGAAAAATTTGCAAAGGAAAATCCAGCTCCTGTGTTTTCAGGTTCTATTGAGGATATACCGCCTGAAAGCCTAGATGATGGGGTCACTCCGCGTGAAATCCAAACCACAATCCTATCGCTGAAGATTTTCCATGACATGTACACTGAAGAGCTGAAAGATGAGACCAAGTCAGACTCTGAGAAAGAAGTTTTGAGGGGGAAAATATCGGAAACTGAAGAAAAAATACGGGTTCTTGAAGAGAAACTGCTTTCATTTGCGGATTTAACCGAGGAAGAAGCAAAAAAGAACGACTGCCTTCGTTTTGTTTATCTGCAGGAGTACAGATATCAATGTTTGAGCCGCATAGACACACTCAAAACAGAGGCTGAGGAGGAAATTATCCCGCTGGCTAAGGAAGTTATGCGGGAGATTGAGAAAATCCCGAATAACCCAGAATTTAACAAAAAAGTGGAAAAAATGCTTGAAGATCTCATTGAGGAAGAGCCCCACTGTCTTCTGACTCCGAAATTTATTTTTGTAAACATGCCCTTTTTTATGGAAGGACTGCCAAACTTGATATATCAGCTCGATGAAGAGATAGCCAAGGTTGTAGGAGGAAGCTCAGCTGAGAAAATCGAGTGAAGGATTCTCGCGCGGAGTTATACTTTGAAACACATTTCTCGGGGCTTCTTAGTCAATGTGCTTGCGTTTCTGAAAGCAATATTCAATTCGGAATTTTCATAGGAAAATAAAAATAAGCATATTTACTGTTCAGTGTGGAGAAAGTGCTGCTATAATCCCGGGGATATTTGAGCCTATGTCTAGTTCCAGTAAAGATTTATTAGCCTTTGGAGAACCCTGGCTGTAGACTATTGATTGACTTAATTCTATGTTCTTCTTATGTTTGTGCATTTTCACTAGGGATCACAATGTCTTCGCATCCATATCATACGCCCATCGTGATATTGGCCGTCTCCAATCGTATGGGAGTTCCTGGAATTCACTACATTATTGATAGTTAGTATAGCTAGTATAGTATAGTTAGATATGGTAATAAGACAATTTGTTAGTCGAGTTATAATACAGTTGATAGTTATAGTGTTATACTTAGTTATAGTGTTAGTTAGCAGTATACTTATATCATATCTAGCTAGCCATAGTATTCTAGCAGTATATAGTTATAATTTGTGTGGAGTCCACTATATCCCACAATACTATGCCTGAAACAGTTACTTTTTAATCTATTACTGCGGCAAAAGTATAAATACCTGAGAAAATTTTATCTCGTGCCCAAACACTCAGGAGATAAGAGAGAAAATATACTTGCATAAGATCAAATCAGTCTCTCCACAGGCTAGTGCTAGACTCTACTGAAACTTATGCTAGAGACTGCATTATATCTGAATCCAAAACTATGCGGATATTTTTAAAGTGTTTGTTTTTCTCCTGAGACTATACACATTTTTATTGCCAAGTTTCTCCTACGCAGTCTTCCGTTTCTATGTACAGGAGTATAGAAGAAAGCACGAGCACGAGCAAAGAGAAGCCCAGAAGAGCTTGCAGGAACTTCTCGAGTGTAGGACTCAGATACTCTATACTCCACGAGTTTGCATATACTCCCTCAAGATTATCACCCTCTGAGAGTATATTCAGTGGAGTAAGTTTAACGTGGAGAACTTCCATCTCTTTCCCTACTCTCTTCTTCATCGCCTCTACTTGGTATTTTCTTCTCCCTGCCCGGGAAAATGAGCCTCCTGTTCTCCTCCAATACGGCTTCAACGTTTATGTCTAGTGATCCTCGTCCCCCCTGTCTTCTTCATTCGGGTTATCAAACTGTCTAGGGTTATGTATATTTGCAAAATTTTCCAGAGTCATCCAATGAGAAAATGAAGGCATGGGAGAGGGGGGAGGGGACGTGGATGGGCACTTGGGAAGATGTAACCTGATTTCTTATCGAACTATTTTGCAGATCTTTTCATGGGCGATAGATTGATTTTTCCGAGTTTGAGCGACTTTCTGGCTGCCCGTGCTTTTACAGGGAGAGACTCAGCACACATAATTATAGCGCGGATTCTGGATACAGTACCATGAATAACTCTGACTGCGTCTATAAGATAGATAGATCGTACTTTTATGGCTAGATAGATATACTAATCTGCATGTATATA